TTTCCCGGGCCCAGAATCGGCGTTCCACGGCATGAACCTGCCCCAGTAACACCATGATTTGCACATTGCTGGGGCCTGTGCCTTGTGAGAGGTCTATGTCCATGTCAATTTTCTCATCACTCTCGTCGCCGCGCTGCAATCGCCTCCTCGGCTGGTCCTGGTTTTGCTTTGGCATGTCCTGGCTCTGCATATACTCCAGGACAATGCGCGTGGTGTTCATAGTGCTCATAATTGCCGCAGTGATCTGAGCGGGCTCCATTATCCCAGTGCTATGGCGTCTGGTCTGAAAAAAGGCGCGAAACTAGTATCTGACGGACGGAGGGAGGGAGGGAGGGGCGAGTGACGACATGGCGTACAGGTACAGGGAATTAAAATCAACAAAGGTGGCTGTGCATCAGGGAGAAACACAAACAACTGTCAGACAGAATGGCCCCCCCCCAAAGATTGAACTCAAAACCCTGGGTTTAGCAGGCCGTTGATTTCACGGAGGGAGGGGGAAGCAAATGAATACAGAACAAATCTATTTTTTACATCTTAAGCTGGCAGACGACGGTGCAGTATGACTGATAGCCCTCGGCATCTTCTGAGTGCTTGGCAGAAAATACTGGGCGCTTGGCAGAAAATAGCATACTACGACTGATAGCCATCATCATCAAGACAGTTCGATAGGACTGAGCATGTCTGCCCAGGTGCCCATGATTGACAGCCACTGCAGTACGATGACGACAGATACCAGTCGTAATATACCATCTTCTACCAAAAGGCAAGGGGCTGCTGCTGTGTGCAATGCAGCCCCACGTCTGCCAGCCCCACGTCTGCCAGCACCCAGATCGCCGATGAAGGCTACCAGTCATACTGCACCGTCTACTGCCAAAAGGCAATTAGCTGCTGCTGTGTAGCAATGCAGTACCACGTCTGCCGGCACCCAGAGGACATATGGTGACGGTGAGCTGAGCTGAGCGGGCTCCATGCTTGGCGTGGTATGTTGTCTGCACAGGTAACCCAGGTAAAAAGGCGCGAATCGATTGTCTGCCGTTGCTCTGACGGAGGGGGAGGTGCCTGAAGACATGTACCCAGAACCCCCTGCGACACTGTTTTGCATCATTCAGGCATTGGGATCTCAACCCAGAATTCCAATGGGCGGCGGAGACTGCGGGAACTGTGGGATAGCTACCCACAGTGCAACGCTCCGGAAGTCGACGCTAGCCTCGGTACTGTGGACGCAGTCCGCCGACTTAATGCACTTAGAGCATTTTATGTGGGGACACACACAATCGGCTGTATACAACCGATTTCTATAAAACCGGCTTTTATAAATTCGACCTAATTTCGTAGTGTAGACATACCCTAAGTTTATCAAGCTGTTTATAGAGACTTGTTCTATATTAGCTGGTGTGCCAGTATTCAGTGTGTTAGAGCTCACACTCCCTGTGTTTACACCATAAAAATCTGTAGGGCTGCCACCTGGATTTCTGTACACACACAGCATTACTCTTGACTTTGTATCTAGATTTGAGGCTTCCTTTGGGAGGCAGTTCTGCAATCCTTGTTTAGTTAAACCTCCCTGGCCCACCTTCCAGGAGGATCGTACTGCTTGCTAGATTCCCACAAGTGGGAATATGTAGTAGTTGCCTTGAAGGAGAAAACATGGTTACTTTAGTACCTTCGCATATTTCCACCTTCCTATCTTCCTGAGAGTTCTGTTCTCAAAGCACTCAGGTTTAATGGAAGGAAGTGCAGCTGGGCATTAAAATGGAGCACCTAGATTTTCATGGTTTACATAGCAAACTAATAAGCTCATTGTTGGAAGTTTTATAAACCTTTTACATTGGCGTGGAGACCATGAGTTTGTCGTCTTGCCAGCAGGCAAACTGGATCCCTTTTGCTTCCTTTGGCAAATTTATGAATGCCACCAGATCACTGTGATATCTGAAGTGCTGTGAACTTTATACCACTGACTCTAGGATTGCAGTATGAGTTCTCCCAGCACCTTTTTGCTCTGCTCTGTATTTCAGATTCTAATACAATGACTTTTTCACATTTCTTTGTCATTTAACAGATGCTTTTCTTACATCACTTTTTCTTTTTCTAAAGCTCTATTTTCTCTCTCTCTTGGCTCAGTTTTCTGTTTTCTTGCTGTTTCTCCAGAGCTTTCTCCTCACTATTTGCTGGGCCAGACCCATCGGCCCAACACAATCACCCATGTTTGCTGGTACCGGAACCAGAGCCTATCCCTGTCTGATTACTTATGCATGATTCAGGTAAAAACACCTCTAAAACACTGAGTGTTTTAGCAGAAAAAAATTCTAGTTCCTCTCACCTACTTTCCTCTCCCCTGCACCGTAAACATTGTGCAAGTGTGAGAATGCCTGACACATTCAGAATGGAAGTTGTGATGTTTGGTGATTGGTGCGGAAGTCCATTGATATCTTTCTCTCACCTTCCAAAAATAGCCCTGATATCCTTTCAGTTTATGCTACACCAGCCTAAACTCTGGGCTTTCTTTTTCTTTTTCATTGGATATAAAACTAATATGCTGTAATTTCTTCCTGTAGTTTTAGCCACATCTGTTTCTCATCTCACTGTACCACTATTGTATTACTCAGGTTCCAATATACCAGTATATTAACTTAAATAATGCTTCCCTGCAACATGCTGTCCACTCCTAGCTCAGCGTAGTCGTATCCTGGTCCAGAACCCCAATGTCAATCAAGAATCCTTTTTTGCTTGTTTCTTCTCATGTTTTATTTTTGATCTCGCTCAAATAAACTGAATGCAGTGTCTTGGTGGATGTTGCCAATTAGTTCTTAGCATGTTTCAGGAAGACAGGATGCGGACGGTGACAATGGTAGGGCTAGATTTTTGGGGAGCTCAAGATCATTCTCTTCTTAGTGAGGTGCTATGGATGGTAAATCATTGGTATAATAGAATTAGAAACCCATACAGTAACAATTGGTAAATAATCACATAATCAAGTTCAGCCATCTTCTGTTGAGGTGAAAATGCCATGCATATTTAACTGTTTTGCAATGTGAAAGTAGACCATTTTGTGTAGGTGGCAAATTGACAATGCAAAAATGCGCTAAGGCATTCCATCAGTAACTGGACCATCCTAGAAGTCTCTCAAAGCATAGGAAAAAGACTGTCTGTTAATTGTTCTGCATTGTCTAGAAGCAGCCACAATAGGGAACATCAGTCAGCATATGGAATAGTGCCAGCAGCAGCATTTGTCTTGTTCTTGGGGAGAGTGATCAGTGATCTCACATTGGTTTTCTTTTTCTTCATTGCTAGAATCAGCTTTCAGGGTACCTGCTGAGGAAATTCAAAAATAGTAATGGCTGGCAAAAGCTCTGGGTTGTCTTCACCAACTTCTGTTTGTTCTTCTACAAAACTCACCAGGTATGCTATAGTAGTGGAACAGTATGGGGACAAGGGGAGAGATACTGGACGGAAGACACAGATATAACTCTTTACTGTCCTCTAGGTGCATTTTGCAACCATCTATCATCTGCACTGAATTTGGAGCCTAACTCCAAAGGCATGTAGCAAGAAAAATAGCCAGTAGCAATTAATGGAGTCAGGCTCCCTAAGGCTAAGGGCCTTTCTATCGCAGTTTTAATCAGGATATCCTGTTTTGTAAGTGGGAAGTGTGAGGGGTGGGAGTCTCTTGAAGTAGAGGCTAAAGGAGGTCAAGTTGATTAATGAACCTTTCACCTACACCTTTCCTCTTCCTTTGTGTTTAGATGCCAGTCCAATCTTCCCCACTTCTTTTAAAGTTCAGCACAACTAATGATTTGAAATAGGCCTCAGGAATTCCTGTGACAGTGGAGTGATTTGTGAATGTTGCCACAATGCTACCTGCTCCTTCAGTCCTCATTAGCCCAGTAAACCTCTTTCATGTTATATGGGCTTCTTGCCTTGAGGAAACAGTGTTATTGGGAACAAAATCTTTGTTTTGCTGTGGGAATAGTGCTCTGGATTTGAGAGAGACAGTGGGGGAAATCCAGGAGACAGTGAGAGGCAGGGGAATAGAGGCATGTAATTTTATTAAAATAATTAAGCAAGCTTGGGGAAAATTTCATCATAATTTACAACATATGTGTCTCAAAATAGATGGAAAGGCAGCTTCTCTTATCACCCCCTGCTAAGAGAAAATAAAGCCATTCTTGACTGTACAATATGAAAGATCAAACACATGCTCTGCGATTGCTGTCCGTGTGCTGACTGGTAAAGGATGGCTTTCACCAAGAACTGCACTATTTGGCTATGTTCCAGGATGATTATCCATTGGCCAGTCTCCCACTACTTGGCTACACAGTCAGCACCCCAGTGGAGGCAGATGGCATTCAGAAGGATTATGTCTTCAAGTTGCAGTTCAAGTCCCATGTGTATTTCTTCAGGGCCGAGAGCAAGTACACCTTTGAGAGGTAAATTTATGCTTCCTGCATCCATCTCAGAGTCTAATATTTGCTTTAGCCACCAGTGGGTAGTCCAGAGTTGAGATTTTAGATCGCAGTCCTTGTTGCTGCGCACAATCCAAGTACCCCCATGGGGATCCCCTGGGTTCCTAGAAAGAGGGAATCCTTTCCCTCACCATCCCTGATAGCTGCAAAGCTCCTCTGTGGTTACTGCTTCAGACCTCTACTCCTTTCTGAGGGGAATAGCTGGTGGCATGTACCAGCTTCCAAGTTTCCCCTGGGGTGCCCAGGCCCTTCCCCCAAGCTCCCACCCCTGCTCTGCCTCTTCCCACCCCGGCTCCGCCCCCACTCTACCCCTTCCCCAAGCCCCCAGTTCCGCTCCGTCTCTTCCTGTCCAATTCCACCCCCAAGCGTGCCCCATCCTCGCTCCTCCCCCTCCCAGAGCCTCCTGCACACCGTGAAATAGCTGATCTGCAGCGGGCGGGAGGCGCTGGGAGGGGAGGGGGAGGGGAGCTTGGCTGCTGGTCGGTCCTGGAGCACCCACAGAGTTGGCGCCTATGGCTGGTGGTTCTGCCTAGTTGGAGATCCAACTTCCTTCTCTACTGTGACATACTAGAAATCCCAATGAATCTGGGTAATGTAGCATGTGTGGAGGTATATACCCTCTGTGTGGTGCCCATTACCTTGCCCACCATACCCAGTATATCCACACTGGGCCCAGGCAGCCTTTGACATACAGTTCATTGAGAGAGGTTATTATTTAGGTACAGCAGAAATCTTTTTGTTTTTCAAAGAGAGAGGGGGCCTGGTATACAGGTTAGAACACACGGCTGGGAGTTAGGAGTTCTGTGTTCTATTGCTGTCTTTGCAACTGTCTTGCCCCGTGACATTTTTTGAATGCTGTTTGTACTGCAATACATTCATACTCAAAACTTACATTTTAAATTATACTGTATGCAAGAGAACTAGGTGCAATTTTATACACCAGTCAATTGAACCAGAAAACTGAGTTTCTTCTAGAAAGCAGGAACATAATCTCTTGGGCCAATATTTGGGGAGGGATAGCTCAGTGGTTTGAGCATTGGCCTGCTAAACCCAGGGTTGAGTTCAATCCTTGAGGGGGCCACTTAGGGATCTGGGGCAAAAATCAGTACTTGGTCCTGCTAGTGAAGGCATGGGGCCTGGACTCGATGACCTTTCGGGGTCCCTTCCAGTTCTATGAGATAGGTATATCTCCATATATTATTATTTTGTGTTCTCCCTATATTCCTTCTACCTCCTGTAAGGAAAGAGAAGTCTCCCCATCCCCACTTGAGAGCATCAAACTCTTGTCAGCAAGTCTCATATTGTATGGGTCACAGTGTTCTGGAATAGTTCCAACCCTGAGTCCCTATCTTTTTGACTTTTTCAGAAAGTAAGTTTAAGAAAAATCTCCAAGCCACATATAATTGATTTAGAGTTTTTCTCATAATTGCCGTGTTTTTCCCAGTAACAGGATTCCTAGAAGTAGTGATTTCCAGAATGATAGCGAGAGTGGGACATTTTTTACCCATTTTATAAGAGTTACTTTCCGTACTTTAAAGAGGTATAGTCTCAAATAGTTCTCAGTGGCCAAGGATGACCTCTTAAATGAAGAGAGCTGTCCTAATAAAAATACAGGAGAATCCAGTGAGCCTGAATACAAAACCAGGTGCATGGTGCTAACTTCCCAAAACAAGACTGCCCTTGGGCAGCATCACCCACAGTGGGTTCAGTCTTCTCTTCAGGCAGGGCCCAAGCCCAGTACAGTTTACTCCAGGGAACAGGAGAGAGAGACAATTTCTGTATAATTTTCATACTGCATTTTTCTAATACAATCTCTAGTGGATATTTTAGGTATTGCCTTGTGGCCTCCATTCCAATGTTGGTTATCTCCAGAGGTATCCTCCCAGGTTTCTCTGACCTTGGGTCTATCAAAAGATCTGGTTTCATTTAGTAACTTGTTCTTGGAAGATATTAATCCTTTTCACAGTCCTAAGACACTTAGAATAGACTTGAGGGGCTTGAAAGTGTTAGATAGACATTTATCTAACAAACATGAGTCAGTGAAATGTCTCAACTGGAGAAAGGCAATTAAACTAGATCTAGGGCAGGGGTTCTCAGACTGGGGGTTGTGAGGTTATTACATGGGGGGGTCACAAGCTGTCAGCCTCCACTCCCAAACCCTGCTTCACCTCCAGCATTTATAATACTGTTCAATATAAAAAAAGTGTTTTTAATTTATAAAGGGGTCACACTCAAAGGCTTACTGTGTGAAAGGGGTCACCAGTATGAAAGTTTGAGAATGACTGATCTAGGGACTCCTTATGTGAGTCTGTGAATGATTATCCAAAGGGCCAAATATGTCTGCAAGTTATTTGGTGCCAGCTGCTCTCCATACCTTGAATATAAAGTTGGCTGTTTGATTGAAATATGGAGTGGTTCAAAATAAACTTCCATGGTGTTAGTGATGAGAAATCACTTGACTGTTTGCAGGTTGTCCTCCCATATAACTATTGGGGAAAGAGTCTGATAATCAGGGTAATTGCCATATTGAAGGAAGAAAACATAAAACTTCCTCACTCCTGGAAACTGCTGGCTCCTGAAGAGAATTACACTCCCTCTAATGCAATGCAGTTGACAAGCCAATACCGGCTTCAAGCCCACAACGACATGACCCTCCCTCTTTTTTATATATTTTTCTAGGTTGCAATAGGCTAGTTAGCATCCTTTGTGGGACTTTAACTTTCCAAATAGTGTTCAGATTCTGAGCCATTTTAACATGTTACCCTCAGTTTGTTCATTAATGTAAGGACATTACACACACTGTGTGATGCTGATCAGATCCTTTCACCTCTCTTTGTACCCCGTTTTTCCCTCTGCAGTAAAATGGTGTTCAGACTGCCTACTTCACATGGGTTTGCAAGCCTTAGTGTTTTTACAGGGTATGTGTTTGTACTTTGACTTGGGGGGTGATTCCCAGCTTGAGGAGACATCCCGCGCTAGCTCTGATTGAGGTAGCTTACTAAAAATAGAATGTAGCCATGGCAGGGGGAGCAATGGGAAGGGCTAGCTGACCTGAGTACATATCTAGCAACTGTTGGGCATGTACTTGGGTTGGGTAGTGCCTCCTCTACTCATGCTACCATGGCTATGCCCTCTATTCAGCATGCTAGCTCAGGTCTCCTCAACCTGGGAATCACTCTCCCACCACCACCACCCAGCTCAAAGTGAAGACATACCCAAAGCATTTGAAGATCCTTGAATGAAAGCGTGATATAGGAGTGCAAGCTATTCTTGTACTGTAGAAATTCTCCATAGATCAGCAGCCAATTCAATACATTTGAACCCAGAAATGTTTTGTAAGCAAAGGACGTGGCCTTGAATGTTGTAAATGTTCTGTTGTTCCTCTCTTGCCAGGTGGATGGAAGTGATTAAGAGAGCCACAAATTCTCCAGGGAGATCGAGCCTGTTGATTCCCATGGATGAAAAGGATATTCACACAAACTGAAGGGGGCAGAGCTGGGTCTCTGCTGTAGACATCTGTAGTGCGGTGGGATGGAACAAGGAGTGGGGGGTTGATAAAGCAGTAACATGAGATGCTTGTTTCCACCTGGTGTGGAAGTTAGATGGACAAGGGAAGTGATGAACTGGGGTCACATCAGGTTAGACTGGACTAGAAGATATAAAGTCTGCTACAGTCAAAGCTAACTGAAGAGGTAATGAACCTTAACAATGGCTGCAAAATTCCTATTCTGTGGGAATCCTATGGTTTGCTGTGTGCGTGCATTGCGTTCCAGTTATGGGTTCTGTATGGTATACATTGGCATGTCCTGATGGAGACAGATGGCCATGTTCATTGTGATTGGGTGTGTCAGTTGTGTTTCTTGGTCCATAACTGCGGATATCAGTCTTTCTGGCTCCCGGGAGTTCCCTTCTGACACTCAGTGTGGCTAAACCTCTGGACTGTCAGCTGCCATAGCTTCAACCTGCTGGCCACAAACTTCGTGGACTAACTGGGGATCTGCAGATGTATCCAGCCGGAAGGCCTGAATTCACTTTAATTTCAAACAGAAAATACAGCTGCTGTAAAATCATGGAGCTCTTCAGGAAATTGCCATGGCAACAACTTCACTTTTTTTCGGGGGTGGGGGGAAATGGGGAGAACATGAAGCTTTTAGTTTTAGAGGTATCACATTTTACAGCTTGGAGCAGGAGACCTGTATTAAAGAACACACATGGTTTCCTTAGAGCTCAGAGCCTGCTCTGCTGCATGCTGAGGGGCCTACCAGATATATTTATTATACCTCCAGAGTCCTCTGCATCCCTCATGGAGTGGAGGGCTCCTCCTACAAACCCTTTAATCACCCTCCACTAGTGAGACATTATTTAAGGCAGGGATGGCCAAAGAACTAATCACAACATCCTCCAATGCAATATGTTGCTGCTCTTGAGTGATATTTTCAAAGGTGCCTAAGTGACATAGGCATATAAGCCCCATTGAAAGTCACTGATACTTGTGTTCCTATGCTATTTAGGAGTGTTTGAAAATCCCAGCCCTTATCTCTCTGGAGGTGGCATCCATCTTCAGCTTTAACATGGTGTGACGATCACTTGCATCAAGGTGGAGCATTATATCCTGGCACCTGCTCTCTGTGGGGTTGTGCCACCATATTCAAGATAAAAATAGTTTCAGTCTGCCCTACTTCCTGCAGATTTGCTGTTTCCTTTGGATGCTGTGCAATGCAGCACTTGATTGGGCAAATTATGGATGCCCCTTATCTAAGGACTGGTAAAGTTGTAATAAGCTGAAAGTAATAAATGCTGCTTATAGGTAACATAGCTTAGAGGGGCTGATTTATATTTCAGGTGGAAAAGTATTTGTGTCAGGGAAGAAACAATAAGGTGTTAGAGAGAGATAAGAAAGTGCTGTGTGTTGCGAGGATGACAGAAACAAGAGGAAAGCAGAGACCCCTATGGAACATGGGAGATGCAGGGGCTTGCATGTGCAACTGTTTCCCCAGAGAGAGAGACTCCTGGGTTTGTTGGTTCAAAGTCTTATGTGTGCTGGATGGGAAAGGACTAGGATCCCAGATGGGAGGATTCTAGGTAGAAGATTTCATGACCTTTCACTTGGCACCTTCATCCATAAAGAAGCAGAGACTGGACCAGTGCATCATAATGACCGTTGTCCATTGTAAGTTAAATGTACTTTTTTAATTTATTAGTGTCTTAAAATAAACTGTTGTAGATGTATAAATGTGTGTTTATTAGCCATTTCTGCTGTAACCTAGCTGAGGGTAAATGTCATGGTGGTGGAAGTAAACAGCTGCTCAGTGTAAAGCTCTGTCAGTGTGCCCGTGTTCAATCTAAAGCTTTCCTGCTCTTGGGAAGGTATGTGACGTCTGCATGCAAGCTGGGTAGTTAGGTCCTTTAGAGTCAGTGGAAGGACAGTCACCAGTTCTAGGCGAAATACCTTATTCTTGAGCTTTGCAGCGATCTCTGTGGATCCCAGAGTAGTAAGCCTGTGTGATGGCATCTTCAAAGAATTACACGTGTGATTTTTCTCCTCTTCAGAGCTGATTAAACCCTCTTTTTCCTTAGCTCTGCAGCTTGAGGGAAGAGGCTTTGGACTCCGTAACAGGTGGTTGAGCTTCTACTGTCTTCATCTGTTTTCCTGGATGATGCTCTGCTTGCCTCTTCTTCCCAAGAACAGTAATGCACACTATGAACATCCAGGGTCTGTTTGAAAGGAATGAGTGAAACCAGTTTAGAGTGGAGCTTCCCTTTTGAATGAAAAATCCCCAGCCGCCGTCCTTGGGATTTCAACTGCTTGTTAATCTCTTGCAGTGGGGATCTGCAGAGGCAATTTTCATGAAGGCGAAAAGAGGGTTACCTATCAGTAATTGAAGTTTTCTGAGTATGTCCACACTGACTCTCCTCCATAGCCTTTTGCTTAGACTTTGAGACAGAGAGGAGTTAAAGTCTGTTAGGAGCAAAGGGCCTTTTACAGCGATGGTTTAAAACATTGTTGTATAGCTCTAGTTATCTGCTATTTCTTTTACTTCTTTAAATGATTCCATGGCTTATGAGTGTGGCATGCAACTTCCTACAGTGCAGAGGCAGTATGTCTGAAAAACCCGCTACTGGTAAGTTAGATGCCTTTCTCAGTCTTGCCCCAAGTGAACATTTTCTCACATCATCTGGTATTACTGATCATCTGCTCCGGAGAGACAGGGACCTGGAATAGCAGGGAGGATTATGTTACATTGGCAGAGCTGTATAGAAAGAGCTTGCACAATACCTCTGTACAATGCCTGGCACTGACTGATTTTCTCAAGAGCCAGAGTTTACCACTCTGCAAGCAACAATACTCAGTGAGTTCATATATTCCATACATGCTGACTGGGCCTTGTAGTGTCTCATTGATTTAGTACAAGGATGAGCAACTGGTGGCCCAGAGGCCACACCAGACCCACTGGATCATTTTATTTGGCTCACCACAGCCCAGCTTGGGGTAGGTGATCCGGCAGCGCCAGAGCCAGGAAGAGGGCGGGTGGCACATCCTGGGGAAAAGGCCCTGCGTGTGCACAGACGCATTTCAATCATAGAATCATAGAGTATGTCACATGATGCTGTGGTGAGAGCCCACAGACCAGAGCAGGGTGTCGGGTGCAGCCCTCAGCAGACAGGAGCTGCTGCTGCTGCAGAGTGAGTGCAGGATGGACTTTCTCTCTAACTCACCCTGGTGCCTCCCACCCCCGCATCGCACTGCCTGACCCACCAAAGTGTGTTAGAGGATTCTTTAGCCCTCTAGTACCTGAGAGTTGCCCATCTCTGATTTAGTCTCTTCACAGTTTTCTAGCCTTAAGCAACCCAGTGCGCTACCATCTACCTTGTATATTAGAAGAGGAAAGTCCTGAAGAGTAAGTTATATGCATTGACAAGTATTGCATTATTAATTTCACCTGATCAAAAAGCAATACTGTTTGAAAAAGCTCTTGGGAAAAAAAAACTAGGGCTGTGGATTAATCAGTTAACTCATGCAATTAACTCAAAAAAATTAATCGTGATTAAAAAAATTGTGATTCATCGCAGTTTTAATCACAGTTAAACAATAGAATACCAAATGAAATTTATTAAATATTTTAGATGTTTTTCTACATTTTCAAATATTTTATTTCAATTTACAACACAGAATACAAAGTGTATAGTGCTCACTTTATATTATTTTTATTACAAATATTTGCACTGTAAAAATTAAACAAAAGTGGTATTTTTCAATTCACCTCATACAAGTACTGTAGTGCAATCTCTATCGTGAAAGTGCAATTTACAAATGTAGATTTTTTTTTGTTACATTACTGCACTCAAACAAAACTGTGTAAAATTTTGAGCGAACAAATCCACTCAGTCTTACTTCTTCAGCCAATCATGAAGATAAACACGTTTGTTTACATTTATGGGCGATACTGCTGCCCACTTCTTATTTACAATGTCACCTGAAAATAAGAACAGGTGTTTGCATGGTACTTTTTTTAGCTGGCATTGCTAGGTATTTACATGCCAGGTATGCTAAACATTCATATGCCACTTCATGCTTTGGCCACTATTCCAGAGGATATGCTTCCATGCTGACGACGCTCGTTAAAAAAATAATGTATTAATTTGTGACTGCACTCTTTGGGGGAGAATTGTATGTCTCCTACTCTTTTACCTGCATTCTGCCATATATTTCGTGTTGTGGGAATCTCGGATGATGACCAGCATATGTTGTTCGTTTTAAGAACACTTTCACTGCAGATTTGACAAAAGGCAAGAAGGTACCAATGTGAGATTTCTGAAAGTAGCTACAGCACTCTACGCAAGTGCCTTCCAAAATCTGAGAGGGACGAGGTGTGGAGCATGTTTTCAGAAGTCTTAAAAGAGCAACAGTCTGATGTGGAAACTACAGAACCCGAACCACCAAAAAAAGAAAATCAGCCTTCTGCTGGTGGCATCTGACTCAGATGATGAAAATGAATGTGCATCAGTCTGCACTGCTTTAGATCAGTATCGAGCAGAACCTGTCATCAGCATAGATGCATGTCCTCTGGAATGGTGGGTGAAGCATGAAGGGATATATGAATCTTTACCGCATCTGTCACGTAAATATCTTGTGACGACGGCTACAACAGTGCCATGCAAACACCTGTTCTCACTTTCAGGTGACATTGTAAACAAGAAGTGGGTAACAACATCTCTTGCAAATGTAAACAAACTTGTTGGTCTGAGCGATTTGCTGAACAAGAAGTAGAACTGAGTGGACTTTTAGGCTCTAAAGTTTTACATCGTTTTGTTTTTGAGTGCAGTTATTTTTTTGTATATAATTCTACATTTGTAAGTTAAACTTTCCTGATAAAGAGATTGCACTACAGCACCTCTTCACCAATATAACGCGACCCGATATAACACGAATTCGGATATAACGGCTAAAGCAGCGCTCTGGGGGGGGGCAGGGCTGCGCACTCCGGTGGATCAAAGCAAGTTCAATATAACGCGGTTTCACCTATAATGCAGTAAGATTTTTTTGGCTCCCGAGGACAGCGTTATATCGAGGTAGAGGTGTACTTGTATTAGGAGAATTGAAAAATACTATTTCTTTTGTTTTTAACAGTGCAAATATTTGTAATAAAAATAAATATAAACCGAGCACTGTACACTTTGTATTCTGTGTTGTAATTTAAATCAATATATTTGAAAATGTATTTAACAGAGCGATTAATTGCGATTAATTTTTTTAATCACTTGACAGCCCTTTAAAAAACCATATTTGGAATCAGCCACTTTCTACCCCTATCCTGGTTGTCAGTTACAAAAAATGTGGTCTCTCAGGGACTGGGATGTGGGTGTCAACGGTTACACCAGTATTTTGGTGAGTACAGGGGTTCTAAGAGGATGTGTTTTTCTATGCCAAGAGCCTGTTGTGTAAAAGTTACAGTTCCAGTCCATTATAAAAGGGAAAAAGTCATTGCTGGTGGGATTCAGGTAGGGAGGTGGGAAGCCTGCTTTTAATGGAGATCAAAGTAACCATAGCAGGCCAGGCCAGCCAACCAGCTGAGAGCAACATGAGAGCTATTAGTTTGTGTAATCTCCTGGGTTTTCATTTAGAGTTCTCCTTTCAGGGAGACTTGACACACGTTTGCTTTTAAATTTCCCATATTGTGGGGCACGGTGCTTAAATTCAACAGTAGATAGCAGCTTTCAGCAGCTCTGGAAACGTTATTAATTAAATACCTAATGGGGAATTCTGATGAATTTTCTACATAGAAAAATGACATCTTGGCTACTTATATGGTCCCCATTACCACAGTATCTCAGTGCCTCAGAGTCTAATGTATTTACCCTCACAGCACTCCTGTTTGGCAGGGCAGGGCAGTACTCTTGTTCCCATTTTACAGACAGGGAACTGAGCCAGAGCGGTTAAGTGACTTGGCCAAGGCCGCACAGGGAGTCTCTGGCAGGCAGTGAGTTGAATCTGCCTCCTGATTTCCAGGGTAGCTGCCTAATCATTGGACCATCCTTGTTATCTATGGCAAGAGGGTTTTGAGAGTTGATATTTGCTGACTTCTGCCCTGCATGCAGGGCAGGTCTGCAATGGCTCTGGTCTCAGCTGCTGGAGAGGCACAGCCTTCCCTAGAACTGGAGGCTTGCTGATCTCATGGAGCACCACCCTGACATGAAGCGATCAGAAAGTGGATTAAATGTTCTCCCATCACTGGAGGAAAAAAGCAGAAGCCATTAAAGTGAATAGAGAAAAAATGATAGCAGAATTTGTTCCTTGGAGGAAGCACAGATCATAAATGGTGTGTATGCAATTAAAGGCCAGGCATGTGGACTGCAAAACAGAACTTACATTGAGAGCAAAACACGGGGGGGGTACAGCCCTTTGTAACTTTCATAGGTGAAACTTTATCCCAAATTGCTTGATAAGAAGGAGGCTATGCAAAGGAAGGCAATAGGCATACAAGCTAATGGAAGAAAAGTGACAGCCCAACAGAAGAGTTGGAAAGAGAGTGAAGAAAAGAATGTGTTCTATATACTTCTACACAGAGCAGGGGCAGTCCCTCTGTAAGAGTGAGTGAGACAGGAGTACACTGGAAGATTTCTTCAAGGAGTGAGTACTTATCAGGATGCTGTTGGCTCTCACCTATTGGCAAACATCCAAGCTGATATTAGCATGATCTGTAATCCTGTAGACTCTTAAACATGTTACTAACATTTACTGGATTGAGTGATTGCTTAACACAGATGTCCTCTTGTTCCACTATAAACAAACGGTCTTCAACTCTGTATAGTTTAACTGTTTCAGTTCAGAAAACCATGACCAACTCAGTCCTGATTTGTTAGTCCCTATTGTATTTGCTGGTGTATTAGAATGAAACAATTTCTTTAGCTGCCCTCTGAAAGAAAATATAAATAAATAAAAGTAAGAATACCTGCTTCTGTAGCCTCATTTTGCAGGATGTTAATTTCCTTAGCTGATTTAAATGTTCTTCACCTCCTAGCAGTCTAGATAATTTCATGTGTCTGTTTGTTTCATGTTGGTCAGACCAGTGCAGCAGCATGTCTGCTTAAGTATTTTCAGCACATGCTGGATTACAAGGTCCCTCCCTTTGGCCCACCTTGTAGGCATGTTTGTTGTCTGTGCAATGCCACCCCACCTTCAGCTCCAAGGGGACAACTACTCTCACTGTGCCGCATGCAGCTGTGAGGAGAAAACACCCCATCATTTAGCTGTGAACATCTGTTAATGTTTCAAACTGGATCCAAAGGCAGAGGAAGTGTCAGAAAGAGAATGTACTTTCCACCCTGCTAGTTTAGCTGGCTGTAAGCCTAGCTTTGAAATAGAGTAGGCACTCCCTCAGAAACTACCTTCCTAGCTGTATCTCCATCACCACCCATACCGAGCTTCTGCTGTAGCCAGTATGCTGGACAATGTAACAGTATTCAAAGGTGTTGATGTTATTG